AACTATTACGCACATTATTTACTTTATTCCGACTATTGTCCTCATCTTTGTCGCCATATTTATTACAACGTTTCGGCCGTTGTACGCTCCGGCCTTCTTCAGGTGGTTGAAATGTCGAACTGAACCTTTTATTTCACTCACAGTTGTAGACTGTTCTAGTTCCACGTTTCGTGTATAATGGATGTCAGTTATCAGTTATCTCCTGTTAATTCCCCTCTGAACATTTTCCACTGCCTTAACCGTGTATTGAACTCACACACTTTTGGGTCTGTCACTGGATCTAACTAACGCCTTTATTAACTGTGCCATGTGTCCTCAAGGACACATGGCACAGTGGATAACTGACATCCATTAAACATGGCACGTGGAACTAGAACAGTCTACCCCAGTGAGCGAAATAAACTCTCTGTCGAACTCTCTGCCTCGGGAGAGAGGAACCCGGACGAGGCTTTGCCGCAAGGCAACCTTTCGTCCGGGCAGATAGACAGGCTGTGAACCCGTTGATACGAGTTCTAAGGGAATATTTTTGGGCGGAGTACCCACGGTAAACTCGGCCTTGTGCCACATACATCCCTCGTGGTGGGGGCCGTTAAATATTAACAGTGTCAAAATGTTCATCTGTCGAACTCTCTGCCTCGGCAAAGGGAAAAGTTTCGTCCTGGGAGGTAGACAGGCTCTGACCCCGTTTATGCGGCTTCAAAGGGAATATTTTTTGCCGAGCCTACGAGCTCGGAGTACCCACGGTAAGCTAGCCCTTGTGCTACATACATCCCTCGTTGGGGGGTGGGCTGTTAAATATTAACAGTGCCAAACTGTTCATTACTGTCAAACTCTCTTTCTTGAGCAGAGAGGAACCCGGGCGAGGCTGTGTCGAAGGGCAAAGTTTCGTCCGGGGTAGTAGACGGACCCGAACCCATTTATACGGGTTCCACGGGGATTTGGGGGTCGAGCCTACGGGCTAGGACGACCCATGTTAAACTCGGCCTTGTACCGCATGTATCCTCGTGAGGTAAAGGCTACTAAATATTAACAGTGATATAAACTGAACGCTGGTCAACCGACACACACTCCCAAGTCGTGTAACACACTTCTGCTGTATTTACTGTTCAATACACTATTTATCTACAACCTTTTGTTTTGTTATTTCATAACCAATTACTTGGTCACAACAAATACAGGGCTGCCCACTCTACTACAAGTCAGTTTTCATAAGGTAGTACTTATATAAAGAAGCAAATTTATTGTAGCCTAAAAATCTACAATAATGTATCATGAAGTGAAAGATTCAACTAAAAACATTTTTATTATAACCTATTTATGGATCATTTGAAATATTGGTGAAGAATTGAAAATAAATTCAATGTATCTAAATAAAAATTAGAGACATGACATAATAGATAATTCGATCTTTAATAAGTACACATTGTCTTGTGGCAATTTTTAACAACAATTTGACATTTTCTTTCTTAAAAAGTTGAATTTTTTTTTTTTTAAATACACGAATTCTATATACTATTTTGCCATACTTATCACGCGCCAAAAAAAAATCACGGATTTTGACCAAAAAATAAAGACCCCAAAATGAAGTCAATATCTGCGAAAATTTTTCACCCTTTATTCCAAAGGGAATTTAAATATATATATATATATATATATATATATATATATATATATATATATATATATATATATATATATATATATGAGAGGTTTATCCTTTGTTTCAGTTTAGGATTTGGTTTTCGGTTTATTCTAAAGACTTTTCACATCACATTCACTCCCAGTAGCCCCATGCTTGGAGGGATTAATTGATTAATACACACACACACACACACACACACACACACACACACACACACACACACACACACACACACACACACACACACACACACACACACATATATATATATATATATTATAGTGTAATTTAAATAAATATGTGTATAAATTTCAATTTAAGTGAAAAATGAGTAAGTTATATGTTCATACTTTTAATATTTTTAATATTAACTAACGAATTAATTAATTTAATATTAACTAATTAATATAAACAATATATGTAAAATTCATATAGAAACAATACATAAATTAATTTACTCTGTGTATATTTGAATATATGAATATGTATTCAATACACACACACACATATATATTAAATATATATATGTGTGCGTATACATATACGTATATATATATGTATATATATATATATATATATATAATCTGGTCTGAGTGATAAAGTTTTAAGCAGACTTTTTAAGTTGGCAATATTCCAAGTTGTTGTATGAAAGCCAACAGAAATTTGCCGAAGTCCCACCCACAAATGATCGCAAAACTTAACTGTTATGTGGTAATGAAGGAAAGAAGTAAAGCCGGAAGGAACGAAGGGACGAATAGGGAATGCTGGGAAAGCAATAAAGGTTTGGAAGGGAAGTAGGGAATAGTGGAACACAGGTCGAAAAGGCAGTTGGATGCGGTGGCGCAGATGAGGCCACTATAAGGCTTTGTACACTACAGTATTTTTTTTTGTGGCCCACTGCTATAATGCATTTCTGTCGGCTCCTCTTTCACTAGTGAAATCGACCGATTCTATCTCGCCTTTGTTTTAATTTAAATCGTTTTTTTGCGCATGCGTGTGATCGAAGAATTAAACTTAGATACCCCCATATATATATATATATATATATATATATAATAGTGGTTTAGTTTTGCAGTGGGCCAAGTAATGGGTTGAATGTTCTTTTGTGCCAATAAGTGATGAAAGCCTGAAGGCTTTGAAAATAAGCGTTCGATTGCCTGGGCTCAAACACAAAGTACGCGATTGCGTCAGCCCCCAGTTATGATATATCACTAGATATAGAGCTATATATATATATATATATATATATATATATATATATATATATATATATATATATATAGCCTATTTCTATCTATCTATATATCCCCCTTTTTTTGACTGTTTATCATTAGATAGATAAGAGAAAACCAGAGACCGTGCGAGCGAAGAAGATTTGATATTGTTACTGAGTTTTATTTTACAGCATTCTTAGGTTGCATCATTTCGAAACCAGTAAATTCCATTAATAATATATTTGAGTCTATAAGCATTTAATTAGTTCGAGGATATGTAAATATTGTTCGTTTATATTTGAGTCCTGGATTTATGTAGAGCATAGAGTTTATATTTTAGTCTATATACATTTAATTAGTTTGGGTATATGTAAGTAGTTTATATTTGACTCTATAAGAATGTATTTACACTATTTACATTGTTCGGACTATCATCATTATCTTTGTTGCCATATTTATAACAACGTTTCGGCTGTTGTACGCTCCGGCCTTCTTCAGATGGTTGGAATGTCGAACCGAACTGGGATAGACTGCTGTAGTTCCACATGTTATGTCTAGTGGATGTCAGTTATCCGTTATCTCCTGTTAATTCACCTCTCCAAGTTCTCCACCGCCTTAACCATGTATTGAACTCACACTCTCTGGGTCCTGTAGAGTGGATCTAACTAACAGCATTACCTACTGGGCCATGTGTCCTTGAGACAGATACTGAAAAATTTATTTGGTTAAGACACAGCCCAATTTGCAGGTCGGGGACACTAAAATCAAGCAGTTGTGGAAGTTTAAATATCTGGGAAGTGGTTTGACAGAGTACGGAAAGTGCGACACTGAGATCCGTAGACGTATTGGGGTGGCCAAGGACGCATTCCAAAAGCATTATTCCAAGACAGGAGGATTTCTTTGGTAACAAAGAAAAAAGTGCTGTGCTGCTACGTGACATCTGTCTTCCTTTACGGCAGTGAATCTTGGACGGTCTCCTCCAAGATGAAGAAGAGACTCGAGGCGACGGAGATGTGGCTCTACAGAAGGATGCTGAGGATATCATGGACCGAGCTTGTGAGCAACGAAGAGGTTTTGGAGAAGATGCAAACAAGGTGGAAGCTTATACTTAACACCAGGAAGAGGCAGCTGAAATTTCCGTGACACGTAATGAGAAATAGGGCCTGGCGAATCTGATACTCACAGGACGGATAGAGGGAAAGAGAGATAAGGGAAAGTAAGGCATGACATACCTGACGAGCAAGTGGATGACAGAAGGTGGTTTAGGGGCGGAACTTATTGAGAGCTACAAAGGATAGGGAGAAGTGGAGAGCCATGATCGCCTACGTCTTGAAAGGACACGACACATGAAAATAAAGAATCGGACAATAGGAGAAAGTGAATATATCTTGAGCTTACATTATATTCTATAAGCATTAGTTTGCGTATATCTACCTAATTGTAGTTTATATTTGAGTCTATAAGAATTTATTTGGTTCATTTATAGGCCAACATTAGTCATCTATATTGAAGTCTAGTGCTGAACTGCTGACCGCGGCGGAAAGATCTCGCGGGTCGTGGGGAAAAAAAAAAAACGTTAGTATTAGATGTTGGCAGACGCACATCTAAACCTTAACATTCACCACACTCATACGCACACATTGTACCAGGTGAATCTTTATAGTGTATCCCATTTATATAAAAAAAAATTATTATGGGAAAAAACGATTTATATATTAATCAATTGATTCGAGAAGAAAATACGGATTCATACCATCCTAAGGTTATTCATGCAACAGTAAACCCAATGTCGTCGGCCGGGAGTTCTATTTTCTATATCAGTCCGTTAATTGCGTACCATTACAATGACGATCACGTCGTAGGGGAACCACGTGTACTGCAACCCGGTAAGCTGGTTTGAATTCATCCTAAGTAGTAACCGATCAAGGCTATAGGGCCCCGGCTGTTGAGTTATTTACCCATAGTTCGAGTGGAGAAGAAACAGATTCATAACTTTTCCAAAGGTATTTGCGCTTAAGTGAATGTCACGAACTCGGCTCTCCTATCTCTCATTGCGAGTCGCTCTCCAATACACCACCGCGCATCCACCCTAACTACAATATACAATGAATATACTGATTTCTTTCGCTAAGTCAGATTTTGGCTTACGGCCTTATCACGTTGAACCCCAGCTTCCCGTACGATCACCGAAGTGAAGCAACATCGAGCATGGTCATTACCTAGATGGGTGACGGCTTGGGAATACCAGAATATAAGTACGAATATGCCGGTGGTGTAATGGATAATGGCTCGGAATTGTTAATCGGTGAGCGGAGTTCAAATTCCCCTTGGAATCATTATATTTACTTATGGGCGAATACCCTTGGGAAAAGTATGAATCCAAATCTTCTCAACACCCCAGCTATGGGTTAATTAGTAAGATTTATATCCTTAAAGCATTCTTACAATCTAAAAATATTTCTTAGCTTTAAATAACCTGCAAAAGTGTTGATAAGCCGTAAAAATTTCATGACTCAATCAATGACATATTTTAATGCATATCAATTTTTCAAAATAAAAATGGGACTCAGAAAACAATATATATAAGAGTTTTAGAAGAATGTTTCTTTTCTTGGAAATAACGTTACAAATTCAATCAGATTTTATCATTATAGCGGGCAATATAAAAAAACAAAAAACAAACTAGACCATTATTAGTAATAAATAAAATTAAACTTTTGTTTAAGAAATCACAAGTTTTCACGCTTTACTTGATTGTAAAAGTACAGATGAACTTTCAACAACATCCCTTCTGCGAAATTCAGGTTAGATGTCAATTTTAATATATATATATATATATATATATATATATATATATATATATATATATATATATATATATATATATATATATATATATATATATATATATATATATATATGAAGAAATATAGTTTTAAGGTGTGCTGTATTTATGGGATAAAGTGCTCAATATCAGAGATAGAGCGGATGTAAATATAAATATAAAAGTTAACATTGAAGTCAACACTCAGAAAAGACAGGCTGTTTCATGCCAGACGCATTCATCAGGCCTGACGATTGCGTTTATCATGAAACAACCAATCGCTTCGTGTGCACTTTAAATAATTATAACTTTATTTGTATTTGCGATAGAAATAATTTATAAAAAAGGTTAGAAAGAAGTAAATCTATATTTTTTTAAGGTTTTATTGAAATTGTATTTAAGTTTCCACATGTCCTCCATCATTAGTAATACAAAGGGTAATACGATTTTGCAGTTCACGGAAAACATTTGCCAACTAATTTACAGTAATGCCTGAAATCACATTAGTTATTTTAGCTTTCAAATCTTCTAATGAACTGGAACTGGTTTGGTTGCATACACAGTTGTTTTCACATGTCCCCATAAAAAATCTAATGGAGTCAAATCTGGCGAACGTGGAGGCCAATAAAATGCTCTACCCCTTCCGATCCACCTGTTAGGAAATTCCTGATTTAGAAACTTTCTAACATGCAGAGCAAAGTGACAAGGAGCTCCATCTTGGGTGAAATACTGTATTATCTTAAACTTTATAACATTTTTTACAGATTATTTCTTTCGCAAATACAAATAAATTTATAAATTTTTAAAAGTGCACACGAAATTTATGGACACTGTGTATATGAGTGTGTGTCTGTGTTAGTAGGAAATAATATCCGAACAAAAGTGGAAGAATTTTTTATGGCCATGTTTCGACTTCGTTAGATAGTCATATAGGCGTCTTCTAACATTTCTCTCCCCTCCACACACACACACACACACACACACACACACACACACATACATATATATATATATATATATATATATATATGTATATACGGTGAGAGATAATACGATATTTTTCCTAACGACCTTACAGATAAATTACTGATAAAAAAAAATAATAATAACATCTTCTACAAAAGCCAAAATGTTAAGACGAATTTTCTCTTAGAAATATCATCAACAAATACACAACCCCAGTCGACTTGAACAAGAAAATTAACTTATCTAATAAAAAAAAATTGAAAAACCTAACCTTACTTTAAAAATAACAACAAACTCGCAAAACAAAGACTACAAAGAGCTACCATTATTTACGAGTTCCTGAGCAGATTTCTGTTTTTAAATTTCCCATGACTTTGCTAACAGACGCATCCTCTGTAAGCAGCACTTCACGCTATATGATGCTTCGGTGTAAAGATTTAGGTTCGATTCCTGTCGCTGGACACATATTGTCTCGGAGATCCAGGCCGGTAAATGTAGTTAATACTATTCATTATAAACAGAGCATTTCATTTACTTAAATATTTATATTTATAAAAATAACGTATAAGCAGAAAATATATTCAAATAATCTTAGCCCATAAAATTAATATATATATATATATATATATATATATATATATATATATATATATATATATATATATATTAATTTAAAGAAAAACAGCCCACTTTACGTTTCCATTGTAATAATTTATTTCACCAGAGAATTTTATTTTTCTCTGGAACATCGGACTTCACTTTCAAAAGGTGAAACGAAAAATGAATTTAAAATTTACACTTTTGACGGTCAGTATTGACATAGAGGGTGGTGAGGAATAGTATGAGAGATATGGTCGAGTTTAGAGAGGGAAGGGAGATTTTTAAAATTTATTTTTATATTTCTTTTTAATATAATACTTAATATTGAGGAAGGAGGGGGTAAGTATCAGACATTGACATATTTAATCGGTCAACTCAACGGAAATGATATGGGAAAAGGAAAAGGAGAAAAAAGGGAAAAAGAAAAAAGGGGGAATAAAGAGATACGAGATGTACGTAGGGTTTTTGGGGGAAGGAGAGGGATGGTATAGCTTTAGTAATTTAAATAAGAACAGATTTTAACGTCTGATAGTAATTTAAATGTTGAAAAACTCCACAACGAAACTCCATGCCAATATATATATATATATATATATATATATATATATATATATATATATATATATATATATATATGTATGTATACGGGTTGGATAAAATAATTGAAACACTTGTTAAATTCAAAGAAAATTTATTTAATATGGAGTTGGTCCTCCTTTAGCCTCACAGACAGCTTTAATACGTCTAGGAATTGAATCATACAGCTTCCTGACTTCATCGAGAGGAATTTTCAGTCATTCTTACATTAAAACCTTCTCCATCTCTTTACGACACGACGGTGGAGGATAGCGGCTCCTAACTTGTTGCTACAAAATGAAACCACAAATGTTCAATAATATTGATATCTTGAGATTGGGGAGGCCACTCCATGTGTTCTAGCCCACTTTCATGCTCTTCATACCAATTCTTAACCACTCGAGCGGTATGTATTGGATCATTATCGTCTTGGAAGATGCAGTCACCATCAGGGAATAAAGTCTTGGCCATTGGATGAACATGATCTCCCAAAATGTTCAGGTAATCTTTGCTGTTGATTCTACCATGCAGGGCCGAGGCATTTCCATGATATGGCGGCCCAAACTATCACTGATCTACCTCCATGCTTCACTGTTGGAAGAAGGCAGTCAGGGTTGTAAGCTTCTTTGGGCTGCCTCCACACATAAACTCGCCCTGAAGTTGGGAAAAGACAAAAACTGGACTTGTTTGAGAATATGACTTGCTTCCATTGGTCTACAGACCAGGCATTGTGATCTCTGCACCACTTCAACCGCTTTTGAATATTGTGAGTGGAGAGAAGAGGTTTCCTGACAGCGGCTCTTCCATGATATGCAGCCTTCTGGAGCTCACGGAGAACAGTTCTAGTAGAAACTGAACTATTCAGATGATTATTCAACGCAGCAGTCACTTTGGCCGCATTTGTCCGATAATTTTTTGCCACATTGCGTTTTGATACATGTCACTCCCTATCAGTAAGTTTGCAAGTCCAGCCCGAATTGCTACGGTGGCTAGAGGTCTTGCCCTGTTTCTCGAATTGCATCAGTGTTCTTGATATGGTAGCTCTTGAAAAACCAAACAGTTCAGCAACCTTAGTGATCGAGGATCCTGCCATGCGAGCTCCAACAATTTGCTCTTTTTCGAACACGGAGAGGTCATGCATTTAGCTTAAATTTTGCTAAATTCTAAAAATAAATAAGAGAAAGACAGTAAATTAGATAAATAAACGTATTTACAATAGATATAACCTGCAATTACGAAGTTTTAGTTAAAGTTCTTAATATAATATTTCTTTGAAATATATATATATATATATATGTATATATAATAGTAATAATAAAAATAATAATAGATCAAACACTAATATTCCATGGTTATATTGACCACTAATATTATATATATATATATATATATATATATTGTCATAGGTTATCAGAAATATATACTCTCAGATGAGTCACAAGATATTGTGAAGCCTTTGAGGGATGGGAATAAATATTGGGAATTGTAGAAACATTGACCTGAGATCACAGGATGATAAATAAAAATTAAAAGCATTGGCAAGATAAGAACAAGAAAATCAACTGACTTTAAGGATGGTACTAAAAAGGATTTGAAAAATTCTCCAGTATGAAAACTGATGCTGCAAATGGTAAGATAAAGATGTGAGTATTAATATTCCAAGAATGCTATTAACCAATTCGATGTTGCTAAATGTTTCAGAACATAGATATACATGTTTTATTTATAATATATATAAAGACACGACATTAAAAAATTTGTATAAGTTTTGTTTACTTATTTTTAATATGATCCTCTCATATTCTCAGACAAGCTTCTTAGGATCCTTATTAAAGGAGGAAAGAAAGTTACCATATTGATGCATATTCATTTATTCCGAGTACTTTCGACATTAGCAAAATGTCATCTTCAGGGTCTTGTTTTATCAGGGTTTTTGTTTTATTTAAGATTGTTTTGTTTATCTGAATTTTTTTTATTTGTCAATTGAAAAACGCTAAACTTATGTACAGTACGATTTTAAAATTTTATGCTGTAAGCATACGCATGTTGTAATGTCAAGGGAGGTAACTATATTATTAAGATGACTATCTGTTTCTTAAAAACTATTTACAGCTATTAGTTAAAACCTAGATATTTTTAAACTATCTGCTGTAAACGTTTGAAAACACTTGTGCAGTACTCAAAATTAATTTTATTAAGGGTTGGATTCAATTTTATAATATGAAATTTTTCTTCGATAAAAACAATTGATAGTGATAGTGTTAAGCTTTATATACGATCT